GAAGAGAAGAGAAGAGAAGAGAAGAGAAGAGAAGAGAAGAGAAGAGAGCACCAGCATTTGCTCACTACCTCATAGTACCCTGTGGAAAAGCACCATGTGGCATATTTCTGGTAACTGTGTGAGGAGTGTAACATAGGTGGTAGATGCAATCACAAATCCCAAATCTACCACTTACTAGCCATTTGATTTGATTGAGTCATTTAACCTCTCTGAGCCACTTCTCTGGGTGTAAATGATGTTTGTTGTATGTGTTGCTATAATTAGAGGTCATAATAAGAGTGCTCTTGGCAGGACACTTGACACAGAGTACAAGTTTGAGAAATGATAGTTTTTTTTTTTTTTAATGAAAAGCTCTATCTTTCTAGAAGAGCTAAGCATGCTTCCCCCTTTTTGATCATGAGGGCTATATAATAGACTGTTTGTCTTCTGCCTGGCTGCCAGGAAGCTCAGGGACAAACTTCAACCTCAGCTCCACAGCAAGTCTATTAACCCTTATGGTTGACCTGTTTGCTTCCTGCTTTTTTAGTACTGGTCTTCTGTTTCTGGTTTGTTAGCTTTATTGCCTCTTCACAGGAGGAACCATCTTAAAATCCTGTTTGGAAAGAGGTAGTATATAACTACAATCAGTTTTTTTCACAATGATATTCTTTCCAGGGCCAAGAGCCTGGCTGGCAGAGCTTGGGTGGGTCTGTGTTCCCATCCCCGGAAGAAGTGCCATCTGCTGCCAGCCCTGGCACAGAGCCGACTGGCACCTCGGAGCCACTGGGAACAAGCACTGTGTCAGCAGAGCTGTCTAGCCTATGGGCTGCTGGGGACTCAGAGCGAAGTGAGTGCCCAGGTGTATCTGTGTTGGGGAAGTGGGGGAAGGGAGGGGTTAGGACTGGGGTCCATTCTATTGCCTCCCAGCAGGTACTGATGCTCTGACAGACCCAGTCACAGATCCTGGACCCAACCCCTCCTCTGACACAGCCATATGGCGCCGCATCTTCCAGTCTTCATACATACGGGAGCAGTATGTGCTCACCCACTGCTCTGCCAGCCCTGAGCCAGGCCCAGGCTCTACAGGCAGCAGTGAGTCCCCAGGCTCCCAAGGCCCTGGCTCCCCCAAGGGTAGTGCTCCCCTGGATCCACCTTCTCAGCAGGGCTGCCGCAGCCTGGCCTGTGGAGAACATGCAGGCTCCCGCTCCTGTCCCCTACCTGCACCTCCACCGACTCCATTCAAGGTGAAAATCAGCCCACATTCATTCACCATGTATCTAGTAAATATTTATTTACTGTATGCTGTGTGCCAGACATTGTGTGGAGATTACTATTAGGGCTAGCTAGAGAGATAGGTGGGTGAACCAATAATGATAATACCAAGTAACAACTAGTGATGAGCACAGGTATTATGTGGGCTCAGAGTCAGCATGACTGATTCTGTCTGGGGCAGTCAGGAGAGAAACAGCCATGTCTAGAAGTAGAAGTTAGCCAGGCAAAGAAGGAAGAAGACATAAACAAAAAAATAGATAAGCAACAACCTCAAGCGAGAAATAGAGAGTGAAGTGAGATGACACTGGGAAGGGAACCAGGACTGGAGAGCCCTATAGGCCACGAGAAACTTGGCCTTCCTAAGGGTGGTAGCAGATACCGTACCCAGGATTTGAGACAAGGGGCATATAGCCAGCTGTATATGTATGATGGCCAGCTGTTCTGCATTGACCAGCTGCCCTCCCATCTCAAATGCAGGCAGGGGCTTTGAGTACTGAGGTGCTGGGACGTCGGCACAGGGTGGCTCTGGCTGGCCGAAGCCTCTCCTCCCCTCCAGGCCGGGCAAACCCAGTCCCTGGCCGACCATGGCAGCCATCTCTGGGTGCAGCACCAGATGGGCCAGGCCCTGAGGCAAGCCAACAACTGGGACAGGGACTGGATGACTCAGGTAAGGGTTGGATGGGGAGGTGGTTTCCCTGATACCAAGGAGGTTGTGGGGAGGTGAAGCCCTGCTTACCACCCTTACGAAGGACAAGTTCCTCGTGGCCTATAGGGATCTCCGGTCCTGGTTCCCTTCCCAGTATCATCTCACTCCACTCCCTATTACTCACTTGAGGTTGTTGTTTATCTATTCTTTTATGCCCCTTCCATATTCTCCATCTAGGAAACCTGCTCTCCCCAGCCCCCCTAGACTGGGACATGTTGATGGAACCACCCTTCTTGTTCACGGCTGCACCTCCCAATGGGGAATCAGCCTCTTCTGCAGTGCCACTACTGCCCCAGGCTCCACGCTGCCATGTGGTGATCCGGGCTCTGTATGGGGAGCAGCCTATGTGCTGGGAAGTGGGTGTTGGTCTGGAGACACTGTGGGAGCCTGGGGATGCCTCACAGCCATCTCCTGTAAGAGAAGCTGCCTGGGACCAAGCACTCCACCGGTTGACAGCAGCCTCTGTGGTCCGGGACAATGAGCAGCTGGCTCTTCGAGGAGGGGCTGAGACCACAGTTGACCGGGGTGAGTTGCTGGTGGGCCCAGTCAGAGGCCAAGGCACAAATAGGCAGAAAGCAGCCAAAGGTGTGGGTCAGTGTCCTTCATCACTATACATCAAAGGGTCTGAAGTGGTTCAACACACTGACAAGATAAAAACTTAAGCAAGGCAGGGCGGTGCCTGTGGCTCAGTGGGTAGGGCACCAGCCCCATATATTGAGGGTGACAGGTTCAAACCCGGCCCAGGCCAAACTGCAACAATAAAAAAATGGCACCTGTAGTCCCAGCTACTCGGGAGGCTGAGGCAAGAGAATCACCTAAGCCCAGGAGTTGGAGGTTGCTGTGAGCTGTGACGCCACAGAACTCTACTGAGGATGATGAAGTGAGACTCTGTCTCTAAAAAAAAAAAACAAAAACAACTTAAGGCAATGGGAAAAGGTGAAAGTGAAAGGGAGCTGACAATGTTATATTAAAGATGCTCACCACAAGTTTATGTACTCTTGCAAGCATGAGACCCAAAGCTAACAAGCATCTCAGCAGTCAGCATAGAGGGAAACGTGATCTTATAATGATTCACAGTGCCCTTAATATAACAACAACTCTTTGTCATTCAAGAAAAGATTAAAATTAAATTAGGGAGCTCAGCACCTGTAGCTCAGTGGCTAGGGCGCCAGCCACATATACAGGGACTGGTGGGTTCAAACCCAGCCTGGGCCTGCCAAACAACAATGACAACAACAACAACACAAATAGCCGGGCACTGTGGCAAGTGCCTGTAGTCCCAGCTACTTGGGAGGCTGAGGCAAGAGAATCGCTTAAGCCCAAGAGTTTGAGGTTGCTGTAAGCTATGACACTATGGCACTCTACCCAGGGCGACAGCCTGAGACTCTGCCTCAAAAAACAAAAAAAAAATTAAATTAGGGGCCAGATGCAGTGGCTCACACCTATAATCCTAGCACTCTGGGAGGCCAAGGCAGGTGGATCACTTGAGGTCAGGAGTTCAAGACCAGCCTGAACAAGAGTGAAACCCTGTCTCTACTGAAAATAGAAAAAAAAACTTGCTGGGTGGCTCAGTGCCCATAGCACAGTGGTTACAACACCAGCCACATACCCCCAAGTGGCGGGTTAGAACCTGGCCCCAAACCCAGCACTCCCACTGCCCCCTGAACCTGGCCTGGGCCAGCTAACCAACAATGACAACTGCAACAAAAAATAGCTGGGTGTTGTGGTGGGCACCTGTAACCCCAGCTCCTTGGGAGGCTGAGGCAAGAGAATCACTTAAGCCCAAGAGTTGAAGGTTGCTATGAGCTGTGATGCCATAGCACTCTACTGAGGGCAACATAGTGAGACTCTGTCTCAAAAGAAAAAAAACTTGCTGAGCATGGTGGTACACACCTGTAGTCCCAGCTACTTGGAAGGCTGAGGCAAGAAGATTGCTTAAGCCTAGGAGTTTGAAGTTGCTGTGAGCTATGATGATGCCACAGCACTCTAGCCTGGGCAATGGAGCATGACTCTGTCTCAAAAAAAAAAAAAAAAGAAATATTAAATTAGTTTAAAATTGCAGTTCCTCAGTTGCACTAGCCACTCTTGAAATACTCAATAATCACATGAGACTAGTGGCTACCACACCCCCATCCTTGAAAAAAGTTTGAAAAAGGTGCTAGTCAAGGGTGGTATCCAGTGTTAAATTTCTGGGTGCTGGGGTCCCTTGCCTTGCTATGTATTGAAGATTCAGCCTGATCATTTCTTGTCAAAGTTGGAAGCCTGAGTTGGTTCTGGGCAAGAATGAGACCCTGTCATTCTACTCTGTTCAAAAGTAGACAAAAGGGAAAAGCTGTGGGGAACACCATGATTTTTTTCTGGGTCTCTCTGTAGAGAGTGGGTGGTGAGACTTCAGCATGCTGCTGCTTGGTTTCACAGGCCATGCCCGGAGGTGCTGGCTTAGAGCCCTTCAGACCAGCAAGGTTAGCTTTGCCCCGTCCTGCTTCACCTGCCCTGTAGCTGTGGATGCTACCACTAGGGAGGTCCTGCCTGGGGCCCTGCAGGTTCGAAGCTCAGGTATGGCCCTCCTCTGGTGACCTCTCAAGCCCAGCTCTCACCTCAGTGGCCACCCTCTTGGACAAACCTGACCCCATCCCCTGTGCCCCTACAGAGCTAGCTGAGCCCCCAGGTACCCTGCCTGCCTCTCAGAGCCATCTAGATTCAGCTTCTCTGCCCACACTTGTCCACTCCAATGGTAATACTCAAATGGGGGGAAAGGGTAGGGGCAACTGGGCTTAGAGACCACCTGCTGGCACTGACTAGCTCCACTGCAGAACTTCAGGGAGGCTGTCCCACAGGCGCCTGGTGCTCGGACCAAAATGGCAATTCCAAGACTGCTTTGGGGGACTCTATAATCCCCATGGGAGGTCCTCACCGTCCACCCCCGCAGCCTGCCTCTAGGATCAGTCTGGGCCGCCGTCACAGACTCTGCAGCCCCAACCCAGGCCAGCCCAGTGACAGCAACAGTGAAGGAAGCGACTACGACTACTTGCCCTTGGTGAGGACTCGGGAGGTGGAGGGTGGCATCGTCAGGGCCTGGGCACTATCTCAGCTCGCTTCTCCCCCCACCTCCTCTCTCCTCAGGTGCGGCTGCAGGAGGCGCCAGGCTCCTTCCGCTTGGATGCGCCCTTCTGCGCAGCTGTGCACATTCCACAGGAGCGCCTGTGCCGCGCTTCACCCTTTGCGGTGCACCGTGCCAGCCTCAGCCCCACCTCGGCCTCGTCTCCGTGGGCACTTTTGGGCCCTGGTGTTGGCCAGGGTGACAGTGCCACAGCCTCCTGCAGCCCCTCTCCCAGCTCGAGCTCCGAGGGTCCAGGCCAGGTGGACAGTGGGCGGGGCTCAGACACAGAGGCCTCGGAAGGAGCAGAAGGGCTAGGTGGTACTGACCTGCCAGGCCGATCCTGGGCCACAGCTGTGGCACTAGCCTGGCTGGAGCACCGCTGTGCTGCTGCCTTTGGCGAGTGGGAACTGACTGCAGCCAAGGCTGATTGCTGGCTGCAGGCCCAGCACCTTCCAGATGGCCTTGACCTAGGGGCCCTCAAGGCTGCAGCGCGGGGGCTCTTCCTGCTGCTGCGCCACTGGGACCAGAACCTGCAGCTCCACCTGCTGTGTTACAGCCCAGCAAACGTGTGAGGGGTTCTTGTTGCTGCTCCAGTTGGCGCCCCCATATACTCAAGTCACTGCCGCCCAGGGCCGGCCTCTCAGGTGCTGGGAAGGGGTAGGCTGGTGTCAGCCTGTTCCTACTGCTTAACTCCCTTCCCAGAACCCTCTCACCACTACAAGAAGTGCCTGCCTGTGCTCTCTCCCACTCTTCCCACACCTCCTATGCTGTGCCTCCCAGCTCTAAGCAGCTCCTCCTACTCCACCAGGCCCCCTTCTCCTCTATCCTCTGAGCTTCATGCAGCACAGTGGAAGGGGAGAGAGTCACAGCCCCCAATCCTATGCAATAAAGTGCCTCTGAGGACTACTTGAGTGACTCTTCATCTGCCCGGTAAATGCCTCCTGACAGCTTGGTCCAGGCACTGGCTACCCATATGTCCATGAAGGCTGCACAGAGGTAGACTTGGCAAGGTTTATTTGGAAGATCACAGAGTCCTTCCCACTCAAGTCCTAAGAATGGACTGGAGGGGAAAAGGAAGATTTTAGTAGACTTTCTTGCTCTGCTGGATGCTCTTGGGGAAAGCCTGTGGCCCCAGCCAGAGTTGCAGTAGGATGACAGCATGGCATATGTGCAGGGCGGCAGAGCTGTAGGATGTGGATGGGTACGTGTTCCAGGAGAGCTCAATGAGCCCCAGCACCAGCAACCTGTGGACAAGAGACAGGCTCGGGCTTTGTCTAGTTCCAAGGCTGCTGCCCTTCAGCTCCTCATGCCCTAGACATCTCTCTAGCTTCTCTGGTCACAGCCTTAGGATGAGGAGCTCCCTAAGCCCTCCCACTCCCTAAGGTTGACCCAGCCGGTACCTGAGTAGGTGTGTGAGCCAGCGTGCAGGCGTGGCCCATAGGAGGTAGGGCAGTGTGTGGAAATACCAGACGTAAAACTGGTAGTGGAGGGAGCGGCTGAAGCAGATGCCAATGAAGTTGGAGGTGAAGAGGGTAGAAACAATCTGTATGCAGTAGTCAAGGTCAAGGGCAGGAGCAAAAGGGGCAGGAGCTTGTGGGTGGGTGTCCCAAAACAGAGGGGCAAAATTTTAGGATTGATAGCCCACTAGGTCTCCCATTCCTAGATGCATGCATGCCTTTGGGCAAGCTTCTTAACCTACCTGGACCTGGTCCTCAATCTTATATGGAGGCAGTAATACCTAGGACCATAGGCCCAGCGAGTCTGAATCTTTCACTTACAAGCTGTGTGACCTTGGTGAGTTGCTTAACCTCTTAAAGCCTTAATTTTGCCATCTGTAAAATGAGGATAGTAAGAGCACCTCCCTGCCTCAGTGTCTCCTGTGAGCTTTAATGTTAGAATGTATATAAATCTCTTAGGACAGTACCAAGGAGAGGGTTAGCAGTCGTAAAAGTAGCTCAACATTTAGAGTGAAGAATAAAATGTGCTGGCTCAGCGCCTATAGCTCAACCGGCTAAGGCGCCAGCCACGTACACCTAAGGTGGCGGGTTTGAATCCCCAGCCCAGACCCGCCAAACAACAATGACGGCTGCAACCAAAAAATAGCCGGGCGTTGTGGTGGGCACCTGTGGTCCCAGCTACTTGGGAGGCGGAGGCAGGAGACTCGCTTGAGCCCAGGAGTTGGAGGTTGCTGTGAGCTGTAATGCCACGGCACTCCGCCCAGGCGGACAGCTTGAGGCTCTGTCTCAAAAAAAAAAAAAAAAAGAATAAAATGTGCTTCAGTATATAAAGTGCTCAGCTCAGTGTGTGGTACAGAACAGGAATTCTATGACTGGACTCCCCTTCCCTCCAGAGTTAATGGACCAGGACCCCATCTACACCTGGACAGGGCAACACTCACCTTCCCATTATTTAAAGGATATGGTTGGGTGTAAGGGGCTGGGGTCGAACCTTCCTTTTGGAGGGATGCTTCAGCAGTGACAGGATACTTTCCCCTGTGCTGGGGATAAGTCATTCAGACATTTATCAAGCCCTCATTGTAGCCCAAACTCTAGACTTACCTCCATGAGCTTAATATCTCCCCCCTTCCTCCAACTCTACACATGGCACTGCCTCCCTTTCTTACCTGTGCCACCTGCAGACAGCAAACAGCAAGAGCAGGGTGAGGTGGGCAGCCAATAAGGCCAAGTGGAAAGAACGATGCAGGAAGAGGGCCTCTGGGAGGAAGCGCCAGTTCACTGTCCAGCGAAACAAAAACTGGCGGCCAAGGTCAAAGGAGCGGGATAGGTAACCAATAGGGTTCTCCAGCAAGAAGGGTAGCCCCAGCACCACCTGAAGATGAGTGTGATGTCAGCAGAGCTGCTAAGACTTGTTCATAGTGTTAATGCTACTCACTGAGGGGAGCAGGATGTAGGTCTCAGAGGTTCCCTAATTCCCACCAGAATAGCAGGAAAGCTACACATACATCAAGGCCAGAGCCTGTGGCCAAAGAAACTGAGGAGGCAGGTAATATACTTTAAGGTTTAGATTCACCAAGTCATCAATGGGCAGAGCTAGAAAGACCCTCAGTTCAACACTCTTACTTCATAACTAAGGACACAAAACCTAGAGATAGTGGCTTCCCAGCTCAGAATAAACTCCAAAATCTTGTCTTTTGGCTTTGAGGAAGTCACAGGAATGGAACGAAGCCATTAGAAAGGGAAAGAGTAAGGTGGGGGTACCTGAAGGCCAGCACAGATGCCCAGCTTGGGGAGAGCTCCACGGAAACCAAACTGTGTGAGGAGAAGAAATAGTAACCCAGGGGCGAAGAGCAGCACATTCATCTTCACAGAGACTGCCAGGCTGGGGTGGGCAAGGGTGAGGAAGGGTAGAGATCAGCTCCAGGGCCGTGTATACTACCCAAAGGCATTCCCTACCCCCATGCCTGCAAACTCCAAGATGGGGGGTCCATAGTCAGAACTGCTGGAAGGAGGGTAAGGTAGCCTGCAAGGAGACTGGAGGTAGATGGAAGACAACTAGCTCCTGTGCCCAGATTGACTGAGCATATGACCTACGTGCAATGACCAATTCCAGCAACAAATGCTGTCCAGAGGGGAGACAGGATAGGAAGAAGGCATGTGTGGAGGGTGGGAGGGTAGGGTAGAGACTTTCTAGAGGTTCTAGACTCACCCTGTGAGGCCTGGAGTGACCCACACTGTCACCTTTACTCCCTGTGTTGTGCAGAATTGGGGAGAAAGAAACGAAAATCTACAAAATAAGAGAGGAGGCCAGAAGGGAGGGGTGTTGACCTGAAACAGCAGCAGCCCCAGCTCCAGCGCTGGGCCAGGAAGAGGTTGATACTGAGGAAGAGCAGCACCATGGCCACTGGGTCATTGAAGAGCCGAAGCACAAAGATGGAGTGGACACGGTAAGAGGCACAGCACATGAAGAAAAAGACGAAGGGAGGTACCTGAGGGGTGGGCACAGTGAAGAACAAGGTCAGCTCACCAAGCCTTAACCATCCCCATTCCCAGGCCGGGGCCCTTTAGTCCTGGTAGCATGGACTTACCTTGCAGGTCTGGTGGTAGATCAAGAACACAAGCAGCAAGGTGGCCAGGTAGAGCACAGCAAAGATGTTCTGGGCCATGTGGATATCAGTGCCCCTACCAGTGGCATAGTATAGCCCCATAAAGATATACACAAAACCAGCTGGGTACCTAGAAATTGAGAAGAAGTGTGGTCAGGCCAACTAGCCTGGTACCTAGCCAGCCCCTCATGTCTTCCCTGAACCTTCTATCCCCACTCACACAAGTGGTCCAGTATCACCTCGAAGTTGGGTATAGTCATAGGTGCCACTGATGACACCTTCCACCTGGGCCATGTAGGCTTTCCAGTCGATCTCTGTGTCTGGAAGGTAAAATGATCTGGTTACTTCTGAGTTCAGAACTTGTCTGTCCTCCTCCCCATGCCTCCAGACTGTCAAGACACAGACTTCCAACTTAGTAGCAGGGCTTCCATTACCACTCTCATCTAACTGCCCACCTGACATTTTTTCGGTGGACACAGGCATTTGAAACTCAGCATGTCTATACTTAAAGTCCTTTAATACTTCCTTCTCTCAGCTCGGCGCCTGTGGCTCAACCAGCTAGGGCACCAGCCACGTACACCTGAGGTGGCGGGTTCGAATCCCCAGCCTGGACCCACCAAACAACAATGACGGCTGCAACCAAAAAA